GCATCCTTACATTTATTCCATCACCTTCATTAGCTATTTGCCAGCAGAAATGTCCCGCCATGCTAAATATTCTTTTCCTTGAGGCCATATGTATATCTCATGTACCTATTTAAGCTGGGCTATTTTTGGTACTCCTGATGGTCTACATCAGTTTTTCAAAACCTTTGATTTCTAATTGCTAGCAGGAGGGCCCAATCAAGCTGAAATATTTTTTCTTCGGGGACGTATATGTATCTCTTGTAGTTCTCCAAACCTTCGATTTATATTTTCCAGCAGACACGTCCCATCGCGCTAAACAATTTTTGCTTTGGTACTATATATAATATGTGTCTCCTGTAGTTTAGCTGGGCTCTTGGAGGTGCACCTGGTGGTCCACATAAGGTTCTCCAAACCTTCGATCTATGTTTGCCAGCAGGAGCATTCCATGATGCTAAACAATTCTTGCTTTGGTGCCATAAATGTATTTCCCATTGTTTAGCTGGGCTCGTGGTTGTGCTTTTAGTGGTACACATCAGGTACTCTAGTCCCTCAAGTGGAGAAAAAAAGTAGCCTTTACCTTCTTCAATGCGATAGCAATCTTTGTACCAAATTTTATCAAAATCCGTTCAGTAGTTTTTCAGGATGCTGTCACATACAAACATCTAAACGGAAAAATATGTAAAAACTTTTGAAACGTGTTTTGTTATCAATTTCAAGAATTCGCTGACAATTTATTTTCCTATATTTTATGTACAGTCTTTCGACCCTCTACAACTTTATTATTACGTATAGATTCCGTTAATTTTGCCGGTGTGTATATAATGTGTGTATAGAGAAATGATCACTTTAACCAGCAATCGAAAACTTCTCTCGCATTTGTATTTATCATCCAATTATTAATAAATCTTGTTCTGAAAAGTGGGACACCGAGTCTACGAACGACCCGATGAACCATGGTTGCTATTCAGGCCCTAACTGATGACCCTGACGGACCGCCGCCGTCTTATTATTCATAGAGAGCGACTGCTATGGGGCCGAGGGTTAAACGTGCCCTCCGAAGCACATAACATTCTTTTTGCAAAGCGAATATGATGTGATGTACATACATTTATCATTCTCGGTGTCCAAAATTGAACTTTCGATGCCAAATTTCAACTAAGTGTGTTTTCATAAATTTCTGTAACTATAAAATTCAAAAAAAATTACTTTAAGACAAAAAATCCGTAGTACCTTTTTTGAGGTTAGAGATGAGGATATTACACATTATATTACGTATATTTCATAAGTAATGATTCAACCGTATCATACCTAGAGAAGCCCAAACGTGGCATGTTTCGAGAATTATTTCCTTTTTAATTTTATAGAAGTGACTTAAATATAATAATGTCATATATTTTTAGAATCGGCTTAGCAAGGCCTTTCATTTGATACCACACACGATAGGTTTTGGAGCAAAAAAATTTTTTTTCCCATACAAAACAAATATGACGTCATTACTCCTCATAGGATTTTTTTTAAATTGTGTACTACGGGTCAAATCGATTCATTTACCCTAAAGATTAAGTGTACCAAATTTCAGAACTCTTCTCTCAGGTGCAGCATGTTTTGAACTACCGCTAGGACTAAGACGTGTTGCGACGCGGTGTTGTGTTTCTGTACGACGACTACGGATTATGACTGGAGGTTGATGTGTGGGAAGAAAAGCGATGAAAAACGAATCACTATTGATCTCCATTTTACAATGCCTCAAATCAAGAACAAGGCAGAACACAGCAATCTACGAATAGAAAAGAGTGAGACGTGTAAAACATTGTCCAAAACATGATTTCTGTATGCAGACTAAAACGGTAATGTGGGTAGAGGTCGCGTGTGGATAGAGGTCGCTCCAATCCCCGCTAAGCCTCAAGTTTCTCCACAGACACATTCATTTTTTGGCTGCGAACTCGTGACCGGTACGAATGTGGCGCGATTTGTCAGGTTTACGTGGCTATTTGTACGAGGAGCAGGTGCTGCGGTGTGAGCGGGATATGGAATAATAATGACGGATTCGACTTGAGATGTCTTAGTGGCGGGAACTGGCAGACCACTTTGGTCGTCGCCGTCGGCTAGTGTGCTCGGCTTACGATGTCAAGCCTGACACAATATTCTCTAAACAGAACCACAACACAGTCTTCAAAACATACAGTTTACAGTTTTAATGGTTGTATACAGGGTGTAAGGGACGGTGTACCGAAAACTTTGCAGGCAAGATCAGACCATGAAACCAAACAATTATTACCATGAAGCCAATGGTGCCAAACAAAAAATAAATTGACATGAAATTCACGATCAGTTGACTGATTTAGTATGGGAAGTAATATTTTTTTTTATTTACCACCATATGTTCTTTAGGGAAAGTTGTTCAGTTTCATGGTCTGCAAATTGTTTGTTATACCGATCCTTTCACCCCGTTTATGATACTGAAGGAAATGATTTCACTGGCACTTCTCGTAAATAAGTTAACGCTCAGTATAATTAAAATAGTCCAAAAAAGTTACCTGATACCTTACTGAAATGCTGAAAGATAATAAAAGAAATCGAAATGCAATTCCAATGAATCATCCACGTATCTCTATCTTAAAATCGAGAAATCTTGTCGTCTTCAGACTTGCAGAGAGGACACGAATATTTTCATAGGAATCGAATTGAATTGCATTAAGCGATGCCAGCGATATTCGAATGAGAGACTTTAGGAGCAGATCGAGTACGTATTGTACTTAGACGTACCTACGTATAGGTAGCTATAGAAAATTTAATAACTTGACCGTAGACGAATGAAATGCAGCTTCTATCTTTTGTAGAAGTGTGCTCAACATTATAGCTACAGTTAGTTATCTTTCAAACAAGTTTGCAAGCATTTCTGTTATAAAAGTCTTCGAGAAAACTGTATTCTTAGAAATTTTCCCTAAAATACCTATTTCCATTTCTCATGAAACAATATTTACCTTACCTACTTACAATGTTAAACAAGAACAACATTTTAAATAGTTGCGAATAAAACTTTCATTTTACCTACATTAAATCTGGCAATATGCAGTAAATTCGATTTTAACCTTGTGTAAAAGAGCGGCGGTAGCGATGGTGGTGCAAAATACAATAAAGCCCATGTCACCTACCCGGGCCTGGCTGGCACGCGCGGTGCATGTGAATCAACCACATCGTAACCAAGTGTGAGGCGCACAGCGCTTCAGCAGGCCTATCACTTTATGAACCTGTTTCTTTTGCTTTTAAAAATACAATAAAGCCCATGTCACCTACCCGGGCCTGTATGGCACGCGCGGTGCATGTGAATCAACCACATCGTAACCAAGTGTGAGGTGCACAGCGCTTCAGCAGGCCTATTACTTTATGAATCTGTTTCTATTGCACATAAGACTCTTAAAAAAAAACAATAAAGCCCATGTCACCTACCCGGGCCTGTATGGCACGCGCGGTGCATGTGAATCAACCACATCGTAACCAAGTGTGAGGTGCACAGCGCTTCAGCAGGCCTATCACTTTATGAGTCTAATTCCTTTGCACATATAAAATCATAAGCAATGATGAAAAAATTAAGCCCATGTCACCAACCCGGGCCCAAACCAACCGCGCCATAACCAAGTGTAACGTGCAAAGAGCTTTGGCTAAAGAACAATTTTGTGAAACTGTTTCTTTTGCACATACAAAAAATTGCTGCTTTTCTCACCTATGGGATGTGCGTCCTCTATAAGTTGGTCAACCATATCGTAACATTTTGTCCTCAGAATTATAATATCCAACTTTTTGATCCAACCGGACCGCAAATATTAAAAGCGTTCAGTTATATACTACCTACCTATTTCGAGCTATGAACCACATGGGTTTTTATTGGATCGCTGACAACTCTAAATATTTACTATATTTATATTATTATTTATGTTCATCCATCAGTCAATAGTTTTCAGGTAAATTAACAAAGAATACTCAAACTATTATTAAGTACCTGACCTTTACTTTCAATGAAGTGACTACCAAGTTCACGATCTTAATTTTGTAGTTGTGACTGAAAGAAAATAAGGTATGCTCAATTGTGAAATAACTTTTACAAAGTACGTTTTATACAGGTAGGTAACTTTGAATGCTTACCCTAGGACTAAATTCATAGACCAGCCGCAGTCAGGTTTAAAACAAACTGTCCATTTCGGACTAAAATCTGTATTCAGGGAGAGAGCCCTATTGTTTTAAATCCTGGAAAAAGTTGAAAGGCCTCTCTATTTTGTTAACAATTGCTTTCAATGTGTCCGTTATTACAAACAAATTTTTACAGGAACTCTTTTGAAACAAATTCGATTGATGTTTGGCCCTAGAAAAAGTACGTTCTCAATAAAAGACGTACTTACTTACTTTTTGAAGATCTATGATACCCGTCTTGATGCAAATGATTAAACATACCGTCTTATAATGTTTCTAGCTAAGAAGAGTGGAGCATCAACGAGACCAAGACTTGGGCCACTCCAATAAGCCATATTTGACAGCTGTCAGTTTCACACTAAAGGTGATGTCAGCAAAAGAAAATAGACCTTACGTCAACACATTATCATGATTTTGACATCTGCTAAATGCGACCTACTGGAGTGTGCAGAGATTAATTATTTAATCGAGGGTTAGTGGTCATACGTAGGTATCGCACATTTTATGGGGTATTTTTTCGGTACATGTCACTGAAGCGAATCGTAAGAAACCGCAATTGTCAAAAAGCAGTGGGTTTGTATTTGAATATATGTACATACGTAAATAAACCTATAAATATGGTCAAAGATATTTCACTATTACATGTCAAAGAAGTTAGTTTTTGCTACTTCAACATGTTTCAATCATGATAATGCAGCGCTCCAGGCAAAAGAGGACTTAAACTGCAACTTGATAATAAAATAAGCCATATTTGCAATGCAGATGGCCATTCGAGCAGACATTATTCTTGCGTTAAGCTTCAGACACGGCTAATGATTTCTTTAAGCTTATAATGTTTCATAGAATTGGTGGTTAGTATGACTGCCTGCCACGCAGAAGGTTCCGGGTTCAATTCCCGGTGGGGTTACTCACAAAGCTGTTATTCATCACCTGCTGGTATTCCCAGTCTGGTTAGGACATTGCAGGCTGAACCGCCTGATTGTCCGAAAAGTAAGATGGTTCCGTGCTTCGGATGGGCACGTAAACCGTCGGTCCCGGCTGCTGTCTATGACGGCGGTCGTTACACAACCACGTCAGAGGCCTGCTACTTGCAGTAGGCGGTTAGAAAACTCTGACACCAGGGCTCATCGGGTCGTTGAACGACTCGGTGTCCCACACGAAGAAAGAAAGAAAGAATAGAAATGGGGTCTATGACGGTAAAATTGCCATTGGCTGGATATGTACAAGGGAAATTATAATAATTTGAAATTGAATTAGTTGTACAACCAAGCAGCGATAAACAGAATTAATTACCTAATCTGTAGCGATATGGATAATATAACAGAGAGTGTCGCATAGATTTTAGGTTGGTAAGTGGAATTCGTTATTAAAGGTACCTACTTAAATCAATATGATATTGAACGTACACGAAGATAAAATACAGCTTAAACAATACTACTAAAATACAGCTTTATTAGAATTTTCAGATTCTGATTCTGCTTATTAGTGTCTGCTAAATTTTGCCGCCGAATTCCGTCGCGTGATTTCGGTCGTAGTGTGTCGAAAGTGTCGAAACAGCTCTTAAATTGTAATCGGTGATACAGACATACAACATAGGAAGACATCGGTTAGGCGGCAGAATGATAATCATTTACCTACATATACGTGATATACTTTATGTTTGTATGTATTTACCTACATATAGTCTTGGTATTGAATATCTCCTGCACGACTTACTCTGTCACACAAATCATTGATATCATCATTCGCGTCCCCTTTTCTCTATGCTCTGATATTGAACTATATATGTGTGTTGTGTACCGGCCGATGGCTTGGCAGGCACGGATGAACATGTGCAATAGGTTCCGAATAATGCCATCATTCTTCGCATGACTGGGCGGCGGAGATCGGATTGGCAGATGAGAAATTCTGTTCCTTCCAAGGTAAATCGAACACACTGGGTGATATTACGGTTTCTAAATGCCGCCATATAAATGATTACCTGTGGAAGCTGCGATTTAATGCGGCGTTGCGTGCCATTTTAAACGGCTGTTGTAGGTATCGCATTTCGATAATATTATGCTTTCGTCAAAAAGTCAGATCCGGCAAAACACTGGAATATCGTGCGGTGCTTGTGACAGTAACCTTAGCCCCAAACTCCACAGAGAGGACATGGAGAGGACATAGGACGTAGGGCATGACGCTTGACGTTTGCCATCGCGACGTTTCCATACAAAATGTACGAAAAAGTATTGACAAAGGCACACAAGCGTCGCCAAAGCGTCGCATCTATGACAGCTAGCGTCAAAAACTAAGAAGAATATTTGACGATCACTTGTCTGTCAACTGTCATTCTTACGTCCTATGCCCTTTGTCTTTTTGGTGGAGTTTGCGCCTTAGCTCCCAATCGGACAGTATTATTCACACGTAATACAATCTCTTTCCCTGTGAACCCTATTGTCTTTTTGTTTTAAGGTACCTACTGCATTAATAGTACAGTGACAGTCGACGAATTTTCGAATTTAAAATCTTTCTTGCTTGCCAAACAAGGAGTCTGACACAATTGCTTTAATCTATCTCCGTTATTGTAACGTATTTATCGCGCCTAATCATAGTTAATAGTTAATCATAATAAGAGCTTGATCCTAGCGACATAGTACTTAAACGTATCAAATGTTATACCACCACGTTTTTCTAATTAGTACCTACATATCAAGACTCCAATTTTCTTCGAGATATGTGCTACGTCCACAAACAGGTGAATAGCTGACGCTTACTGACGAAAACTGGAAAAAACCGGAATCTCAGGGGAAGTCAAGGTAAATAAGAAGGTGGTTGCCACGAACGTCATATTTTTCGGATTAAAATTGGCTCAGATTCATATTAATGACGTTCTTGTATCCGATTTCGCTGTTTTGATATTCTTGTAAGTACATTTAGATTTTTGAGTGTAGCAACCCTGGCTATGTAACAAAGTGACAATCGCATAAATCCTGAATAGGGTCGAGTGATTCTTCTGTAAACTCTCTATTTTGTGGCGATGTCTCCACTCCAAGACTCTCCAATCTTCAATGTGCTCTGTCCACAAACCGTGAATAAGTATATATTTACCTACATAAACCAAATTGGGTGTAGGTGATTTCGTAATAAGCTGTTTATCGGAGACAAACGGGCTATTATTGTGATTTATGCCGCGAGCCGCGTCAACGTTCACTCCCACGTGCCCGTGTTGCAGATGCAGGCTCATTAGTATTCATTACTTGTGAATAGATAGGCATATAAGTTAATATCAAATACAAAATACCAGGGAGTAACACGAAGAGTATATAAGAAGACGAAAAAGGTCAAATAACTCATGAAACTGAACAACTTTGGAAATTCTGTTCCTTCCAAGTTAAATCGCACACGAACTGGGTGATATCACAAATTAGGGAAACGGCGTGCGGGGCGCCTATACACAGGTAGCTCACTCAATACTAGCGACAATTTGACGCTTACTGACTTTGACTGAAAATAATAACTGGAATCTCAGAGGGAACTCAGGGTAACTAAAAAGATGGTTGCCACGAACGCCATGTTTCTTGGATTAAAAATGCCCATATGACATTCTTGTCCTTTCGCTGTTTTGATATTCTTATACGAGATTTTTAGCAACCCTAACTATGTAACAATTGTCGAGTGATTCTTCCGTAAACTCTCTAAGTATTTTGTGGTGATGTCTCCACTCCAAGACTCTCCAATCTTCTATGTGCTCCGTCCACAAACCGTGAATAAGTATATTATAATACCTACAGAAACAAAATTGGGTGTAGGTAATTTCGTAATAAGCTGTTTATCGGAGACAAACGGGCTGTTATTGTGATTTATGCCGCGAGCCGCGTCAATGTACACTCCCACGTGCCCGTGTTGCAGATGCAGGCTCATTAGTATTCATTACTTGAGAATAGATAGGCATATCAGTTAATCATCATCTTCCTGCCCTTATTCCAATTACTTGGGCACCTATAGCTCACTACAGATGGCTCACTCAGTACTAGCGACAATTTGACGCTTACTGACGAAAACTGGAAAAAACCGGAATCTCAGGGGAAGTCAAGGTAAATAAGAAGATGGTTGCCACGAACGCCATATTTCTTGGATTAAAACTGGCTCGTATTCATATGACATTCTTGTCCTTTCGCTGTTTTGATATTCTTATACGAGATTTTTGACAGTAGCAACCCTAACTATGTAACAATTGTCGAGTGATTCTTCCGTAAAGTTTCTATTTTGTGGTGATGTCTCCACTCCAAGACTCTCCAATCTTCTATGTGCTCCGTCCACATATTGGGAATTGTGTTAGAAGAATCCTTTATAGGCTATGTTTTGTATAGGAAAATTGTTTTTCCACAAAAGCAGGCGGGTTTTTAAATATTTTAATTATAAAGTTAAGTGGTGATGTCCCCACTCCAAGACTCTCCAATCTTCTATGCACTCCGTCCACAAACCGTGAATAAGTATTCTGTCTAAGTATCTGTAGGTATTCTACAGAAACCAAATTAGGTGTAGTTAATTTGGTAATAAGCTGTTTATCGGAGACAAACGGGCTATTATTGTGATTTATGCCGCGAGCCGCGTCAATGTACACTCCCACGTGCCCGTGTTGCAGATGCAGGCTCATTAGTATTAATTACTTGAGAATAGATAGGCATATCAGTTAATCATCATCTTCCTGCCCTTATTCCAATTACTTGGGCACCTATAGCTCACTACAGATGGCTCACTCAGTACTAGCGACAATTTGACGCTTACTGACGAAAACTGGAAAAAACCGGAATCTCAGGGGAAGTCAAGGTAAATAAGAAGATGGTTGCCACGAACGCCATATTTCTTGGATTAAAACTGGCTCGTATTCATATGACATTCTTGTCCTTTCGCTGTTTTGATATTCTTATACGAGATTTTTGACAGTAGCAACCCTAACTATGTAACAATTGTCGAGTGATTCTTCCGTAAATTTTCTATTTTGTGGTGATGTCTCCACTCCAAGACTCTCCAATCTTCTATGTGCTCCGTCCACATATTGGGAATTGTGTTAGAAGAATCCTTTATAGGCTATGTTTTGTATAGGAAAATTGTTTTTCCACAAAAGCAGGCGGGTTTTTAAATATTTTAATTATAAAGTTAAGTGGTGATGTCCCCACTCCAAGACTCTCCAATCTTCTATGCACTCCGTCCACAAACCGTGAATAAGTATTCTGTCTAAGTATCTGTAGGTATTCTACAGAAACCAAATTAGGTGTAGTTAATTTGGTAATAAGCTGTTTATCGGAGACAAACGGGCTATTATTGTGATTTATGCCGCGAGCCGCGTCAATGTTCACTCCCACGTGCCCGTGTTGCAGATGCAGGCTCATTAGTATTCATTACTTGTGATGCTGGCTTAGAATAGCATCACCCCAATTCTACCCGTGGGTGTCATAAAAAAGCAACTGAGGGCTAATTCTCCAGGGAATGAGCAGCAGCGTTCCCTGTTAATTAAAACATCTTGCACTGCGGTTGCCAATCCGCCTGCCGAGCGTGGTGAGTTTGGCAATACTCCCCCGTTAGTGGGAGGCCCATGTCCAGCAGTGGACTGTTGTGGCTGTAAAGGTAAGGCAAGGTATTTGTGAACAGATAGGCTTAAATGTTAATATCAAATACAAAATACCAGGGAGTAACACGAAGGGTGTGCCAGCCGTGTGGTGCCGGCAGAGTAGAATAGCGTCACCCCCTTTCTTCCCGTGGGGGTCGCCGAGGGATAAACTCGACCCAAACAGCTAGGTCCAAACGTATGGTGGCGGTTAATCCACCACAAAAGCATTCCCAAGGAGGGTTGACGTCTGGAAGGCGGCCGGTCGTAAAATTCAGTAAAATCCTCTTGCAACACGATTTTGTATTCAACGAAAC